AAGATACAACTGGTAGGTAGGGATCAGTTTCCGTCGGCTCTGGAAGCTGTGGGAAGATGCTTGGATTCATTCCAGATGTACTGGGAGCTGTGGGAGGCTTTCCAGCAGCAGAGTCCATTGTTCTTGTTGACATTTTGAGAGGATGAGTCTGGCTGCTATGGGGAGGGTGACCTGGGGAGGGCCAGGAGAGGCAGGAGAGAGAGGCTCCTGCTGAAGGTCGGGGTAGAGTGTTGCCAGCTGGAAGCTCTGTGGTGCTGTGGCGATAGGGAGAAGTGGGTGGCTCTGAGACATATTTTAGAGATGGAACTTGCTGAGAGATTGGACATCGAGGGTAGTGAGGGGAAAAAGAGGAATCAAGGATGAGGTCTTGCTTTGGGGCATGAATATCTGGGTGGCTGGCAGTGTATCGTTTGCTGAAATAGGGAAGATTGAAGGAGAAACGAGAGTTTTCTTTGGTAGCAAGGCAGAAAATCCAAAGTTCCGTTTCGGACACAGTAACTTTGAGAAGCCCATCAGGCATCTCTGTGAAGATATAAACAGGCAGGTAGAGATATATTTCCGGAGCTCTGGGAAGAAAACAGTCTGTATTTCAGAAACAATGGAATATAGACAGTACTTCAAGTCATGAAAATCCATGAGTCCGCCTAGGAGGAACCTGTAGACAGAGAAGAGGACTGATGACCAATATTTGGGGTGTACCAACTTGGGGCACCAGTCAGAGGAAGAGCCAGCTAACAAAACTGAAGGAAAGCCAGTGAGATGGGAAAGAAACTAGCACATGTAGTGATGAGGAAGCCCAGAGAAAAAAAGTTCTTCAAAGAGAAGGGAATGGTCAGCTATATGGCATGATTTAGAGAGTTGGAGTAAGATGAGGACAGAAGAGTGACCATTAAATTTGGCCAGACAGATGACCTTGACTAGCACAGTTTCTGTGGAATTATGAGACAGAAGCCTATTTGCGGTCAGAATATTGGGTGAGCAGGTAGAGACAGTTGCTATAGAGCATTATTTTGAGAGTGGTCTTCTGTGACAGCTGGAGAGGCACGTGGGGGTCAAGGGAGAGTTTTGACTTAGATGGTGGAGATGAATGTGCTGATGGAATGGCCCATGAAGTAAGGGGAGAGAACACGACGATGAGGGCTGGAGAGGAGGGATAGATAATTACAGGAGTTCTGTCCTTGAGAGAAAGAGAAGGCTGGGCTCCAGAGCCCACGTGGACAGGTTGGTCTTAGATAGGAGCATGGATAGTACATCCGTAGTAACCAAAGGGAAGGCAGAGAGATGCAGACAGGTGCAGGTGGTGGGGAGATTCATGAGTGAGAAGATGAGATGTATGTAGTTTTCTCTGTGTTTGTTTTCTCGAAGAAATGGGGTGAGGTCAAGTGCAAGGAGTGGGGTAGGCTGCTAGAGATTTGAAGAGAGACGGGAAAAGGGTAGAAAGTAGTTTTGGAGGCTGCGGGAAAGGCATGTTGCAAATAAATGGAGAGAGAAATGGGTGGACGACACACCCTTCTTATAGAGTGAGACCACCACAATGCATGTGTGCGTGCATGTACACACACAGACACACACACACACCAAGTAAGGGGCCACAGCTGATGAAGTAGAGACGGACCTGCACAGCAACGAATAGGCTGACCTTCAGCTGCTGGACAGAAGACTCTAGACCTGAAGAAGCTCTGTTCCAAGCTGAGAGCTCGGCCGTGGACCAGCTAGTTCTCCTCTGTGTTTAGATTCCACATGTAGTGCAGTTTCCTCTGTAGGCTGGAAACTGCCAAATCGGAATCACTTTGCAATCAGTCTCTCCCCCATGGATGTGATGTTCCAGGGCAGTAAGAGTGAAGGGCAATATTCCTAAGACCAGCTGTCAAGAAGGAGCCTGAAGTCCTTGGAGAGGCATCTGGGGAAGTCCGAGCAAAAGCAAGGAGCCTGCAGTTTCAAAGAGAAGAGCTAAAATTTTCCAATTTAATTTCTCTCAGTCAAGTTAGCAACAGAGCTATAACTACAAAGAGAAGTATGTTACTTTCCTGTGGCTGCTGTAACAAAACACCACAAACTTATTGGTTTTAAACAATACAAATTTATCATCTTACAATTCTGGAGGTCGGAAGTCTAAATGGATTGGCAGGGCTTCTGGAGGCTCGAGGGGAGAATACATGTCTTTGCCTTTTCCAGCTTCTACAAGCCACCTACACTCCTTGGCTTGTGGCCCCTTCCTCCTTCTTCAAAACCAGCACTGTAGCATCTTCACATCTCTCTCCAGTCTGACCTCTGCTTCTCTCATCACGGCTCATCTCACTCTGACCCTCCTGCCCCTCTCTTTGCCTTATAAAGACACTTTTACTTATGCTGGGCCCACCATATAGTGTGGGATAATCGCCTTGTCTCAAGATCCTTAACTTAATCACACCTGCAAAGTCCCTTTGCTGTGTAAGGTAACATAGTCACAGGTTCTGGGCGTTAGGACGAGGACATCTTTGGACGGGGAGGAAGCATTGTTCTGTCTACCACAAGAAGCTTCCTGCTTGGTCCGCTAGTGTGACTTTCTCCTTGGTTAAATAATTCTTCCTATTTTTGTTTATAAAACTGTACCTTCTGAACTAACTTATTTTAGTGGAGGCACCTTCTCCTCTGTTGTCTTTGCTCTTTCCCCACGTACTGTGCAGTGGCCTGAAATTGAAAACATTGCGTTTGCTTAACTCAGCCATCTAAAGCTTTTCTTTTTCATCCAGTGTGAAAAATAATAGGATCTAGAGCTTTTAAAACAGGAGTTCTTTATGTGAAGCTCTCAGATCAAATGTGAAATGAACAAGGTATGTTTTCTCTGTTCCGTCATAGAATTTCTCCATGTTTTGGGTATTTGAGACTTGTGAATTTCTGCTCCTTAAGATGTTGAGAGTAGACAGCCCCTCCTAAAGTTTATGGTGTAGTTAATTTAGCAATCCACATAATCCTCATGTATTAAATTCCCAGAAAATGTTTATTAATCTAAGATTGATATAGCATGTCATTGATGTTTACATCATTTGTCAACAAATTCAGTGTTTAAGAGTGAGTGTGCATAGACATGAGGCCGTGTGTGGTATAAGATGCTGCTTCAAATCCTGGTGCAGAAGATTCTGATACATAACTTTAGCTCCCTGGTCTTGAGGAAGTTATGTCACCTCCAGAATCTCACTTGGCTCCTGTGTAAACAATGAATAATTATACGGCTCTCCTGGGGATGGGGTGTAGACTACCTGACTTTTGTTTACAAAAAGCCTTATAAATACCAAGCATTGCCAAAAATTAAAATTTTGCCTCACATAATTCATCTTTGCCTCTATAAATCTCCTCTCTGTTTTCAATTAGATTTGATATGCCTCATTATTTCTAATTTTGAATCATGTTTGAATTTTGCTTTCAACCCTTTTATATTCATTTAAGTATTGGCTTTCTTTTAGTTCTTGAAGAGATTTCTGTTTTCCATTATGCTTGCTTTTATTATGTTATAATAAAAATACTATTTAGAAATTTAAAATTCTCTTGATCTGTTGTATAACGTGTGCATGTGGAGAGATACCACAACTGCCAATTCTAAATAATTGTACTGCTCAGGGTGCTGGCAGGAAACCAATGACACCCTCCAAAGGGGCCATTAAAAGAGTTATGTGGGAAAGTTAAGAGAAACCAGGAAGGAATAATAAAGCACCTCGGAGCCAGGAGCAAGAGGGCATCCTGTGCCCACCCGTGCCTCAGAGGGCGAGAGGAGGGAGGGAGTTCGAGAACCTGCCAGGAGCTGTGGCTGTAGGAGAAGCTTCCAGGGGATGAGCACACCTGCTGTCAAACCTCCACCTGGCCAGGGGGAGGGAGAAGGGCAGCAAGGAAAACAAATGTCCTGAGCCCTGCTCCCCGCTCTGCTCTCCTGCCAGCACTTCCTTTATTCAAACCCAACGGAAGCCGGTGCGCGAGGGAGCCAGTTGAAGGGCCCATAGAGGTCCATTTCCTGGCCCATAGTAGGGTGGAGAAGAGAGGAGAGGGATCTGGAGGAGCAAACAGAAGATACGGAGCAGAGGGCTCCATTGGAAAAACTATTATCCCAAATGAGTTTTTCTTGGCCTTTGGAAGTTGGTTGTATGGAAACATACATGCACCCCCATACTTAGGCACTGACCCCTTTGGTTCCAAGCACCTTTCTTCTCAGCACTGCTATTGGTGGTCTTCAAGTTGAGCCAGTCACTGTGGCTAATGCCCAGATCAGCTCATTCTTCTGTGGGTAGTAAGATTTGGCTAATAGACTTGCGGTGTAGACGCTGGCAGTGACAGTGGAGTCCTCGCTTTCCCAGACCATGGACTGGGCGGCGCTCTCCCTCACTCTGCCTGGCCTCCTTTGCAGGATGGAGCTTCAGCATGGGGTCAGCCTACCAGTTTCACAGCTGGCGTGTGTTCGTGATCGTCTGCGCGCTCCCCTGTGTCTCCTCGGTGGTGGCCCTCACGTTCATGCCGGAAAGCCCGCGCTTCTTGTTGGAGGTAACACTTGTCATACAGGCACTCAAGGAAGCCATGTGCACTGGAAAGAGTTCCTTGTTAATTCTAGGAAAGTATGTTTGCATCTTTGGGAGGTGCATTTTTCCTTCCTGCTATGGAACTATGGAGGGTTTGGTTTCATGGAGACGTGTTTTCAGCAACTAGTGTGTGAAAAAGCTGCTTGGTGGCCAGAAAGCACTACTGTTCCTCCTCAAGCAAGTAACTTTTTGCTCAGTGAAGAGAACATGGCTTATTGTTTTATAAATGAAATTTTACCATCCAGACGTGCTATTTCTCATCATAGACACATCCATTGAACTGCTGATGTATTCAAGATATCCAAGTAGTCAGTATGTTCCAGTGGGTCGTACCTAAATGCATTTGCACAATTACACTCAATTTGATCTGAAAATACAAGATAGTTATGAGAAAATCAGGGCGTATGAGGGTTTCACCTCCTAGCGCTTCACTGTCTGCTCACGTTTCTTAGGTTGGAAAACATGATGAAGCGTGGATGATTCTGAAGTTAATTCATGACACAAACATGAGAGCACGGGGCCAGTCTGAGAAGGTCTTCACGGTAAGTACTGCTCCTCAGCGAATCCCCTATGCCAGGGGTCAGGAAGCTTTTTCTGGAAAGGCCAGATTGTAAATTCCTCTCTCTCTGCACCACTACACTCGTCTTTCAGTTTCTCATACTTGCCATTTTACATAAGCTGCTACCTGCTGTTACAGGTGCTGTTCCCTCTGCATGAAATGTTCTTCCATCCTCTAGCTACAGAGTGTATTCTCAATGGGAAAACTAGTCTGAATTAATGAAAATTGGATGCATGGAATTTTTTGGAAGGAACAATGGTTTTTAAATCTTTTGATATATGCAGCATACAATTAGACAAAAAATGTTTAAGGGGACATACAGTAAAGGGGGACATAAGTAAGATCTTCAGTGTCTTCTAAATAATATCAATTATAGTTCTTAAATATGTAAAATAGTCCCTGATTAAACAGTCTCCTTGACATCTTATTTATTCATTCATTTTTATTTATTCATTTTTATTTATTTATTTTTCATAATGTAAAGATAGACTTCATTCTTGCTTCTATCCAAATTATCATGGATTCTTAATTAGCAAAATTTTTTATGCAGTATAGTAGAGAAATGAAGATCGGTAATGGATGTCCTCCATTGAGGACCTGGAAGCCTTTGAGTAGGCCCTTCTTTTGAGTAGGTACACAATAGAGACGAATATTTTTAAATGAAAGGATCATAAGGCTGGAGGAATCTCGAGACATCAGCTACATACTCAGTGTCACTTTTCCTTCTCCGCCAGAGGAGGGTAAACTTTTCCAAGGACTTCTGAGAAGGTGTTTCTGTAGGGCCTCATTGTCCTGCTTGCCTGCTTTTTCTCCCAGAAGATCTGAGCTATGAAGTCCACTCATGGTCAACCATGTTAATGTTATCATATAAAGGTTAGGCTGGACTAGGTGGGAACACTCCAAAAGGACTGGATAATCTCAAAGTCCTTTATATGTGACTTTCAAAGTCATTACATGACTCATAGGACAAATCTGTTTTTTCCTTTGTTTCATCTACAGTATAGTGAATTTGCATGCATTCCTCCAAGGTCTCTTTTTTTAAGCTCTTCATCCTCTGCCCCTGCCTTAAATATTGTTTTCCAGGGCTTATCTTCAGCTAACTTCTCTTTAACCCTACATCCTCTCTTTAGCTGTTCTCAGCTACTTCCTCTACCTGTATCTCCTGACGGACAAATCTCCTGAGCTTCAGATGTGCGTGTTGAAGGGCTTCGTGGCCATCCTTCTATGTTCTGTGGGCCCTTCAAATTCTAAATATCTAAATCTGAACTTATCACCTTAACATTCTCCAAGCCTCTTCCTTGTCCTAAATTCTATCAGCAAGTACCACCAGCACCACCCAAACCAGAGCCCTGAAAACATCCTATTTCTTTCTTTCCTTTTTTCTCCATTGTATCCAAGAAATCACTGTGTCCTATTATTCTCCATCCTAAATATCACTCCTCATTGTCCCTTACTTTCCACCCTCACTGCCACGGATTTGGTTCAGCCTTCATTACGCACTGCCCTCTGCCCTTGGACTTGTCTTCAGGAATCTCAAACTCTTCGTAGTTTCCCCAAATGCTATTTTCACTCACACCTCTGGACGTTTGCACATGGTGTGGAATGCCCTCCAAGTAGTTTGCACACATGGCAAATGACATACTTCTGCATAAGCCCCAGCTCAAATTCTGCAGTCCATGAAACCTTCTCTCTCACTCCTAGGTCAGCTTGGGTCCTCTGTACGGTACTTCTGTCCTGTCTGACATAGACTTCCAGTAGACAACTTTTTATTTTGTATGGTAATTGCTTGGAGGGTATGATGATGTACATTTGTATCTCCAGGGTCTAGTGCCAGGCCTGGCCGCCCACAGGGGCCAATGAATGAAGGAACAAACAGACACTGATGTGTGGAGAAGAGGAAGCCTCCCAGAAGTAATATGTTGAATGATAAGAACACCCCTGTGATTAAAACAAATATCTAAAGTGTCACAAAATAATGCTGCATGGATTATTTTGAGCTGACTCTATTTGGAATCCCATATTTAACTCAGACTTTATTTTCGTTAAATACAGGCATCTCTGTTAACATAGGAAGAGGCTACTGCTTACTTGGTATAAGTTGAAAGATAGTGAGGGTCCCCAAAACACCTCTGTCAGAAGCCAGCCTTGGCACCTAGATTCTCACATAGAAGTGCTGCTTGGGTTGTTGGCAGAATCTCCAGAAAAATGTGTTCAAAAGTGATCCCTGGCAGGGGTAACGCGTGTGAACATTTCTGTGTCCTCTCTCAGATTTATCAAAAGCGGGTAAATGTTGACTAACAGTAAGATGGAACAGGTCCACAGTGCAACCATTCTTCCTTTTTTCCTCTTTTCAGACTTCATTCTCTGTGCTGAAAGCATTGCTTCTCCTGATTCTTGGTTCTTTTCTTAGCAAAAGGAGGTGAACTGAAGTCGTAGTACGGCCTTTCATGCTGAACCTCCATCACTTATTCCCCTTTTGATTGCTGAGAAATCAGTGTTGATGCTTGCAATCCAAGCTCATTCCCTAGGCCTTGCATCACGGCCCCCTGTGGGGGTTTGCTGAGCAGGCCCTGTGGGAGGAGGAGGAAAGGGTCAGAGTGATGCTCTAAGAATGAAAGTTTGATGGAAAGGCTTTCAGAACTCTGTTTAGGGGCCAAATTCATCAAGTAAGTAGGTTCCAAAGAAAAGTGTGTACAGTCGCTTTAGTCCAAGTAAAATAATTCTTAATCTAGAAGCTCATTTATCTGGATGTCTTATCTGCTAATGTGTGCCTTCGTAGTGACGATTCAGAGAGAGGCATTTTTAGCTTCATGTTATTCCATTACTACTTGCTCTTCTGCCCTTTCTCGCTGCTACCCCTCCCATTCATTCTTTATTCAGTGCTTTTAGGTGCCGTTTGGGTCTGTATATTTACACCAGTGGTCTCATATGTGTACAGCGTGATTATCAAACACCTGCTTCCTTTTTGTTGGAGTCAGCTTCTGCTCCTTTAGGAACAAATTGTAAGCCTCAACTCAGCAACTGCAAGAAGAGAACTCAGCACTTTGCCCTCTCATGCTCTTTACAGGTAAATAGAATCAAAACCCCAAAACAAATAGATGAGCTGATCGAAATTGAGAGTGACACAGGAACATGGTACAGGAGGTGTTTTGTTCGGATCCGCACAGAACTGTACGGAGTAAGTAGCAAGCCCGCCCTGGCTTTTGGGCCAACTTATTGCATTTGAGGTTAGTCGGAAGCAGGGTTGACTCAACCATTCCCACGAATGGGGTTCTTCCCCCTTCTGCCCAGGACACCTGACTCCTGGCATAGGACCAGGTAATAGGATCTCCTTGGGATCAGCGGGGTAGCCAAAACATTCCATCTTTGGGAAGGGAAGGTGTTAGGCAGGGAGGCTTGGCAATGACAGGTGCACGGAAGTCTTGAGTTGCTTTGTCCATTGGCCTCCAGGACGCCAATAAATGACAATTCCAGTATTTGGTTTCCTATAGCCTTTAGCTTTTACATTTTAAGTTCAAATGAATCCAGCCCAAAGAAAACTCAACTTTTCTATAATTTGTTGGAGGGGGTTGGGAAGTGAGGTTGACTAGATAACAGCAGACGAAAACTAACTCTCTAATATTTCACAGATTTGGTTGACTTTTAGGAGATGTTTCAACTACCCAGTCAGGGAAAACACAATAAAGCTTGCAATTGTTTGGTTCACCCTGTCCTTTGGGTAAGTGATATTTAAATTCTTGGTGAGTGAAATCTTTAAATTTCTACACTGTAACTCCCACCAATCATGCTGCTTTCTTTTCTTATTCTGTTGGATGCTGTTAACCTTCTAGGAAAGAATTTTTTTCAGCTTAGATTTACTGACAGTTGTGGTTTTTGTAAGCCAGTCATTTTATTTATCTTGTCATAAAGCTTGGGTGAAACCAGTAGTATTTGGAAAGTCCAACAAGACCCTGGGTGACTTGTCCCAATGACTCCCACCTCCCCACCGTTTGCTCAGCCCCGCCACACTGGCCTCTGTGCTGGTCCTTGAATGTGCAAGAATCATTCCATCTCAAGCCTTTGTGTTGCCCCAGACACCGCCTGGTTCATTGCCTCGCCTCCTTGGAGTCTTCCCTCAGATGTCACCTTCTCAGTGACACTTCCCCAAAGCACCTTTTTTTTGGGGGGGAGGAAGATCGGCCCTAAGCTAACTTCTGATGCCAATCTTCCTCTTTTTGCTGAGAAAGACTGGCCCCGGGCTACCATCCGTGCCCATCTTCCTCTACTTTATATGGGACGCCGCCACAGCACGGCTTGACAGGCGGTGCATCGGTGCACACCCGGGATCAGAACCTGCGAACCCCTGGCCACTGAAGCAGAGCGCGCACTTAACCGCTATGCCACCGGGCCAGCCCCTCAAAGCACCTTTTTTAAAAATCACAGCCCCGCAGCACTCACCATCCCCTTTTCAGGTTTATTATTCTCCTTAGCACCTTCCATCTTCTAATACGCTAAAAGCTTTTTTATTCTGGAAAGAATGGAGCTCAGTCTCCCCCTCTGGAAGCTCTGTGAGAATAGGGACTGTAAACTGTTTTGTTCACTGGTGTATGTCCCCCACACATAATAAGTGCTCAATAAATAGTTGTCAAGTGAAGAGAACCACCATGTATGTGCTCTAAGAAAAGAGGAGGTAGGGAGAACATTTCAGAATTTTATTTGCTAATAATTGACATAGTCATTTCTGAATTTGTGCGTACAGCTCTATTTTTGCCTAATTTGCTATTAGCTAATACCTGACACTTTCAGGTCACTAGGCTCTTAGTGCCTGGTACAGCCCAACATTTATGCTGCAAGTTCTGTCTCTTACCATCCCTAAGTTAAAGCAGGTGGGTGGTCAGAAATGACTGAGCTTTCTCAGTGTGGGAGGGATAACAAAGGGAGAGACCGGAGAGTGGGGTCAGGAGACCTAACAGCCTATTTTGCTGTGTGACTCGGGGACACTAGTCAGTTTTAGTTTCTTATTTCTAAATTGAGAGGTTGATTTAGAATATGTAAAGTAACTCCCACTCAAGTTCTAGAAAAACCATTAATCTATGAAGGAAGAGAGGGCTGAAAATTAACATGTGTAAGTGCCTACTATGTGCTGAACACTGGGCCAGGTCCCAAGATAAGCGAGAGAAAGTGCTCCTCTAAGATGTGGAATTACAGGATAATAATGATCTAGTTTGTTTGCTATTATTGACCACATTTTAAGCTTTAAGATTTCCTTATGATATCCCTGAAACCTCAAACAGTGCCCAGCATTCAGTGGATATTCAGTAAATGTTTGCTGGACAAATGAGAAATTAGCTGACACTCCCCACGTCACTGATGATGGATGTTCCAGGGTGGCATGCTTCCCTCGTTGTTGCCGTTTTTAAGGATTTTGTCCTACGTGTGTCACTAGAGAGCAATGCGATGGACGTTGCACTCTGGAGTCATTTCTTGCTTGGTGGCCACCACTCACGCCCCGCAGAAATTAATTCGTGATCTGTGAAGAGAAGGAGTTGGGATCTGTGGAATCCTGAGGCAGAGATTTGAGCGCTCACTGTGTGCTGGGTAGTTTGCAGCCCATTTAATCCAAGCAACCACCCAGGAGTGGATATGATCATCATTGTGATGTTAGACATGCAGTAACTGAAGCTTGGAGAACTGTCCCAAGATCCCCCTGGCTGGTAGGCAGCCAGGCCAGGGTTCACACCTGGCGTGTCCACCTGCAAAAGTTTATGCTTATAACCGCTGCTTTCCCTGTGTAACCCAGTGTGACTGGGGATAAACTTGAGTGTGTATCAGGAGAATCACTTGGAGGACCCCACCCCCAGAGGTTCTGATTCAGTGGGTCTGGGTGGGACCTGAGGGTCTGCATTTCTCACAAGTTCCAAGGGGATGCTGACGCTGCTGCTCCAGGAACCCTGCTTTGGGAACCACCAGTTTACAGCAGCACTGGCAATAGAAATATAAGCCACATGTGTCATTTTAAATTTTCTGACAGCTACACACACACACACACACACACACACACACACACACACACAAAAGTAAAAGGAAACAGGTGAAGTTAATTTTAATAATATATTTTATTTAACTCATCGAGTCCAAAATATTGTCATTTCAACATATAATCAATATAAAATCATTAATTTTTATTGACTTCATTTTACATTCTTTTTTTCATAAGTCTTCAAATTTGGTATTTATACTTACAGCACATCTCATTCAGACTAGCCACGTTTCAGCCACTCAGGAGCCAGCTGTGGGTAGTGGCTGCAGTCCTGAAGATCACAGGAGCACACCAGTCACACACCTGTGACAATAACCCATTAGAGGCCAAAAGGCAGAAAGTAGAAATCACCTAGATTTTCAGATAGTAACCGGAGAGCCTTTTCCCAGCTTTGAACCACTTTGAGAAATGAGGCTCTACCCGCAGGCTAGCAGTATCAGAGTAGTGTAGAAATCCAGAAAGAGTCTCCATTAGTAAAGGGGGCATTCTTCAGGGCCCTCACAGTTTTTGGATCCCTGGAGTTGGTACCACCTGGCCAGGAGATGGGGTTCCTTAGTGCAGCCTGGGGTGATAGTGCAGAGGCCATGTGTTGGCATAGGATGGGATTCTTAGGGATGTCTCTTCCTAAAGGAAGCGTTCAGGAATTACATACCTGGTTGTCCAGGTAACCCCAGGCCATCTCTCTAGCTTGATTATTGCAGACTTAATTGTAGGAGGAGGGCGCAGTGTAGATTACTGTCTGATGACTCATCATGTTACAGGGAGCCAGTCATGCTCAGAAGTGTTTCTGCAGAACCACGACCTCCCTGAAAATGGCAGGCAGGTGCGCATCGCTGCCGCTGTGCTGGTGTCTTTACAAACTCACGTTTCTTTGTCTTTGCAGGTACTATGGATTGTCTGTTTGGTTCCCTGATGTCATTAAACATCTGCAGTCAGTTTCATTGCCAATGAAAGATGTGCCGAGAGAGAAATATGCAAATTTTAGTATTAACTTTACGATGCAAAATCAGATTCATACCGGAATGGAATACGACAATGGCAGGTCCAGAAACTTTGAAATAACTTAAATTTGCTACCTGTTTTCAAAAATGTATTTCTTATTAGCCTTCCCTTCGCTGAACCATGCGTAGTTTTTTTTTCAGTTTGTACAGTCATTTTCAGACTGAATTTGCATACTTCCAAATGGGCTTTAAAGAAAGGGTATACACGTGCCAGTTACTTCCCTTCACGTCTGAAACTTCGCTGTCTGATGACTCGTCATGTTACAGGGAGCCAGTCACGTGTATGAAGTAGTGGAACTGACTGGTGTGAAAAGAAAATTTAGAGAGACCCTGGAAATCGAGGAAAGGAAATTACAGAAGAGTGAAGAGTGTGCAAAAATAGGATGGGTTACAACGTTATTTAATTCAGAGAAGAAAACTGAGGTGTGGCTTAATGCCTGTCTTCTGCCCCTGAAAAAGGGACCACTTCTCAGAATTCCTTCCTTCTCCATGGTGCTGGATCAAGAATTGGCGTTAAATTGTATAGGGAAGCGTTTCAATTAGAGAACAGGAATGAGTCCTCAAAGTTAAGTTGAAAATATGGAATAAGTTAGCAAAGGACATCTTTGAGTGTGGAATCTGGAATGCCTCTTGACGAGGAGAGAACTGGCTCTCGAAGGTGATTCTGGTTCATCCTTTCAGAGAGGGAAAGAGACAGACAAGGTGGCTGTTTCTGTCCATTGCTCGTTATCAGTTCCTGATGGCTTACATCATTCTTAGGAAATTGTCCCAATTTCAGAAGTGATAAAAGTAAAAATCTAAAATAATTGAACAAAGTTTCCCAGGGCAAGAACCAGTTTGGAAAGATGAAAAAGAATTCTGTGGGATGCTTATGGTCTGTGAAATGAAAAGCAGAGTTACTAACCAGGAGATAATTGGTTGAATTGGCAGTTCAGTGGGGCGCCAATCCTTGTCCAAGCCACACAGGGTCACCTTCCCTCTCCCACAGAAAATACTGACTCGAATCTGCATTTGCTTTTCCGAAGAAACTGACGAGTCAAGTGCTCTGTGATTCCAGGGTGAAAATTTACCTCATTTATTTAAAAAAGTCTCGTTACTCCATTAGAAATTTCTAATATATGTGTCTCTGACAAGTCATATTTTTAGTAATATTGGTTACAGTTCTAAGTTGGATATTTAGTCATCACTAAGAAATTTTTTGCATTAGCAATATAATGATTAATAATTTTAATAGGATTAAAATCCTTGTAAAACATATACATTTCTTTTAGAAGGTGATAAAATTTTTTTTTTTTAATCTTTCAGGGAAATTTGAAATACCGCTAGCTAACTCATTTTTTAAAAATAGCTTTCCTATTCCACATCATAAAATGGCAACTCTTTATGTACTGATGTGGAATAACCTCAGAGGTGGGCTATCAGGAGACAAAGCAAGGTGTAGAACTGTCTCCAGCACCCTAGATCTAGAATGCTCTGGAAGGAGCACATGAGAAACTGACAGCAGTGTTATCTCTGGGCAAAAGAACTGGGTGACTTGAGGATGGCAGGAAAAGACTTACTTTTTCCTTTTTCCACGTTTTGGGTTTTATACCATATGTATTCTGTGTTTGTATTATCCATTCAATAAAAATAAAATTGTTTCCCCTTTCTGAATTCAGTTCCCTTTCAGAAAATTGATAATCTTCTTAAAATGTGCCATTATGTACCCTCCTTTGGTGGTAAATTTATAGGTGGTTTTACTCTGGCCCCTGGAGTAGGGGTTAAAATAAGATGAGTTTTTAAGATGGTTGGTCTGTTAGGCCACAGTGCACTTGGACCTGACACATGCAGTCAGGCGTTAAGGCGAGAACAGTTTTGAAAGTTCTCAATAGTGAATTGCTTTTGAGTCAGCCAGCTCGCTTGCCTGAGAGGATCAGTTCCTTTCTGCCCCTAATTAGAGTGGTATTTGGTATAAGAACTTCTTCCTCAGCTGAACAAGCATTTTCCTCTCAGTGACTGGCTGAATATACATTGATAGTTTCTTAATAAATTACCGAGATACATCGATGAATATTTATCCGTGTCTCCTGGGAGTCTCAATCAACACAGACGGATCTGTATCATAGACTACTTTAAGATATTAGGATTATTATGACTGTTATCATTTTCACCACCTAGAATTACCCCTTGCAGCACCCAAAAATGTATCGAGCAGGTTTCAACATTCTACACGTTTCCAAAAATAAGCAGAACTCTCATCATTCTGTGTGGTTCAAGGCATGCCTGTTGGCTGTGAGAAGGCAAATCTTGGAAATGAGCGTGACCTGTGGGTTTCTTGACCGCTAAGTCGATCATTCCTCATGTAAATGAAGCAGGATTCTCACTTCCTGTCTTCAGGCTAACCGGAAGTCCCTACATGAGAATGAAGAAGCCTTGGGTTTTCAGCTCAGGAAACAGACTTTCATGAAAAGTGAGCATGGGAGCACATCCTCAAGTTAGAGCCATTAACGCCAAGTAGGGAATTTTCAAATAAAGGTATATGTGAAGGAACAAGAGGATAGGATTGAAAAATAAAGAATCAATAGCCAGGGTAATCTCCAAACTCTCTACCTTCAATTGCATACCCCACAAAACCTCTTACCGACATTGCAAAAAGCTGAATGAAGTTCTCTTGAATGCCATCTCTTCTTCCAGTGGAAAATAATATTGGTGAGCAATGAGACAGCCAAAAGACAGGCTGCATGAGGGAAAAGAGAAAAGCTAAGAGCTTAGAAAGGCTAGGAGCCAATGTCCTTTAAAAATAAGAGTGTCCATAGTGGGGCATCACGTCTCTAAACCTGTTTGACTTAGCTTTGAACCCTGATGGACACAGTCATTGATATGAATTTTTGTGTGTTGGGCAGATTCATAGGAGTCAAGTTCAAATCCGTAACTTTCAAAGATTCGGTTTTTAAGTCCTGCACCTTTGAGGATGTGACTTCAGTGAACACCTACTTCAAGAACTGCACGTTTATTGATACTGTCTTTGACCACACAGGTAGGTGCTACATAGCCCTGCCTGGGGCCTCTTCGAAGGGCCCAGTTCCTGGCAGAACCGTGACCCCCGGGCTTCTGGGGGAAGTGGAGATTAAAGTGTAAATGAATGGATTCCTCGATCAGCTTGGATCCAAGTTAAGATTGTATTATTTATCTTTGTCAGATTTAGTGCAAATGGGACTTGCTGAAGTTCAAAGTTGAAAAAAAAAATCCTTTGGTGAATAATTTTTAAAGCAAAGAATTAACCTGTAGTTTGTTTGTTTTGATAATCCTGGTTTCACAATCTGGTGTTTGCTTAAGTGAGCAAGCCTGAACCACAGTCAGCCGAGATGAACGACACGTGGTCGTGCTAATCGGAGACAGTTTTTCAGTCCAGTCCATTTAATGGAGTCTGGAAAAGTCCCCAGGGAAAAAAAGGAGGAGAAACAAACATTGGTAGAGCACCCACTGTATGCTGGTTCCGACTCTAGGTCAGCAGACCTTCACCACCTCACTGAGTTTTCACCATAGCTGAGGCTTAGAAAAAGACGTAATTTGGCCGCAATCGTAGAACTAGAAACAGCGGACATTTGAAGCAGGTTTGTCTGATTGCAAAGCCCGTGCTTTCCCACCTGCACACGTTGGTCCACCTGTCCTGTGGGTCCGGGATCACAGCCCGACACTGGCAGGAGCAGCGGCCTACGCTGTTGCCGCTCCGGCTTTGGTGCTCAGACCGGAGCCAGCTGGGCCCAGCTCCACATGAGAAAGGAGTCAGGTGTGCTGGTGCCATCACTGGCTTCTCACTCACTCGCCCCCAGAAGGCCAGCTCTTTAGGCAGATCTTGGTCAGCAAGGACAATACGGTTTGATTCTCACTGCCTTTTAGCAGAACCCACCATCATCTGCACCCCTTCTTGGGTAGATCCAAGTTCAAGAGAAACACCAGCAGTGAGTGCTGGTGGTCTTCCAGGGAGACTGGCTCTTGTTCCCCGGGGGCTCCTGCACCTAGGCCTTTACTTATAATTTCAGCCTCCAGGACCCCAGGAAAGTCCTGTTCCTTCTCTGTGCCTCAGAGTCCCGTAGATTGGCAATAATAAGGCTGACTCATGCACATTTGGAAACCAATTCTTTTTGTAATTGTAGTATGGAAGCTATTAGTACTATCCTGATGGTCCTTAGGTAACATGATAATTAGAACCAAGTAACATCGTAAAGGAGTAAGCAAGTAATACAATGAGCAGTGGCCAACCCTAAGAAATCAGAAGATAACTGGGCTCTTGAATGTATTCTTTATTCAACAAAGGTGTTCCTTCATTCAGCTACTTTGTAACGTGAGGTCCTGGGCCAGACCCTGTCCTGTGGCCAGGCCCTGATGCCCTCAAGGAGCCTACGATACCATGATTCTTCTCTGAATTCTGAATTCTTGGTGCACAGCTGTGGAGAGCCTGACGAATTGTCCTTCTTTGTGTCCACAGATTTTGAGCCATATAAATTCATTGACAGCAAATTTCACAACTGCTCATTTTTTCGCAACAAGACAGGATGCCAGATTACCTTTGATGATGACTATAGTGCCTACTGGATTTATTTTGTCAACTTCCTGGGGACACTGGCGGTGTTGCCAGGGAACATCGTGTCTGCTCTCCTGATGGACAGAATCGGGCGCTTAACGATGCTAGGTATGTGCCTGGTTTCATGTAAAATAAAGAGCCGCCCCTGCAATCTAGAAGGAGCCTGTTTCCCACTGTACTCCCTGCCCCCGTAGGGTTTTGCATCCCACAGAGATGAGGAGAAATCCCTTAAGACCTTTCATTAGCACTAAATTTTAGTGAAAATTATGTCTAGTTACATTTCATTTGAGCAGCTTCCCTGAGTTAGCAGACTGAAAAAGTAATTGTGCGCGACTGATGTATATTTTTCCACTTAAGTAGCTGAGTAACTGATGATGTGCATTTCACACTGGCTGCGTTCAGAAGGCAGGCAGAGAGGCAAACCTTCATGCAGGTGAACACGCCTATACCTGAGCTTTACGGAGCCCAGGCTCCAACTTCCCCTGGGGATTCAGTTTTGCTTCGAGATGTCAAAGACCCGAGGCTTCTGGCTCTGCTGAGATGGCGGGAAACATCACAGCCTTTGTGGGCTTCCTTGGCAGGTGGCTCTATGGTGCTTTCGGGGATCAGCTGTTTCTTCCTCTGGTTCGGCACCAGTGAATCCATGATGATAGGCATGCTGTGTCTGTACAATGGATTGACCATCTCGGCCTGGAACTCTCTTGATGTGGTCACAGTGGAATTGTACCCCACAGACCGGAGGTATGTTGAAATGGGCCTCCAGGAAGAGGCACTCTGAGCCCCACAGCACCACTGAAAATCATAGAAAATAAGCCAAGCTGTCATTTCCCCAAGAAAGTGAAAATCCAAAAACTATCTGGCTTATGAAGTTGTAGGTTCCATTCTTATCTTTTAGAAAGAAAATGTAGGGGAATATAGTGGCTAGCAGGAGTTAATAGGGCCGTGAACCAGTGAAGGAATCTCATTGTGTCCGTGGCTTAGTCTGTTGACTGACAGCGTGAGGAAGCTGTGACAGAGCCGTGAGGGGTGGGTTTAACAGCCTCTCTTGGCCCACACTTGGAGCTGCTGATCAGTCCTGGGAGGGTCCTTACCTTACACTTGCAAGTGTCTGCATGAGCTCTGCATTAAGCAACCATAAAGAGGTCTCTAGAATGTACCTCTTGACCTTCCTGGTCTGTTTGAGGAAAGCCATCACATTTCCAGTTTCCAAAAAAAAGATTTCTATTCGAAGAAAATTATGCATCTGGTCCCAAAGTGGAGACGGAGACTTTGTACCTTATATCAGAGAAGGGGCTAGAAGGTAGGGCTTTGGGGTAGAGCAGCTGAGTAATTAAAAGAATAGAAGCCCTGTTTTGCCGTTCGACGTGAGTGAAGACAAATGGCCTTGCCTTCTTTTGTTTTGTGTGTGCTCTGTCACCATGGAAGACCCCTCAGTATTCTCTGGACTTTGAAATGGAGGAGGATTTTTTCTAGAACTCTGCAGAGACATTTGGGATATCCATTTTCAACTAATCTTGAATCCCTCCTTTTGCTTGTTGACCCCAGTAGCGTACATTCTCTGCCTACCCAGACTCTCTAACTTCTATTTCTTCTTCACGAACATCTATTACTGAGCTTATAGGAACCTATAGGTACTCCTGTATCCATCTCCCTGCAGAATATCTGAAACTCTTATGGATGCCTGCTTATCGAAGTTCTAATCCAGACCCTCCGTAACCTCTTACTGAACATTTGGGCTCTGAAAGGAACCAGACACCCCATGTACGGCATCTCCTTCATTCATTCAACAAACGTTAGTTCTCTTCTGTGGGCAAGCGTCTGGGGTGCGTGCCACGGGCCTTGGGGTGAGGGTGCTGCGCAAAACAAGACTAAGACTGCAGCTTTCACTCAGCTTTCTTTCTTCAGCCTCTCCTCCTGCGAACAGCGCCCAGATGTGGATTAAACGCTACATTTAAAATAAACCCCTCCATGTTAAGGCAAGTCTCTGTCATAGCCTGCTACCTTTTTTGTTTTACATCTACGAGTTTGATACTATTTTAGATGAACCAGCTACTTACCCCTCTGCCAGAAGGAGAGGAAGGATGAGTATTCTCCTATGGCAAAAACCTGGCTTAAAAACAAAACTAAACTAAACACGGACTGGGCAGGTCCATCCTATGAGAAACATGGACCTGTTGTTTCTGTTGTCAGAACGGTTAACTATCAACTAAGAGAAAAACAGAAATTTGTTTGTGTTAGCTCGGTTCCTCCGAGAGGCAGAGGACAAGGTGTGATTAAACATGCCCAGGTTTTATCAGGGGAGACGCCTCGTGAGAGCACACGGAGTCTGGGAGAGCTGAGTGCAAGCCTAAGCCTGAGCACCTGCACAGGGGCCGAAGGGCCGGGCCCACCAGCGGTCTGAGAATGTCAGCTTCAGAGGAGTCTGAAGCTGCCTGTCCCGGGAACCAGCCTGCTGTAGGATTCCTGTCCCGTTCAGTGACCAGAGCAGCACAACGTGGCAGTGAGTTTCAGAGCACATCGGAGGCCATGCCTTGCAGGTCCCCGAGGTGCGTTCTCACCACAGCCTCGCTTGTTGCTGGGACCTTCTCCAGCACTGAAGCAGAGGTTATCAGACAACGTGCAGGAAGTCATTTCCTTCGGAGCTGGAGAGAGAACATGTCCTCCAGAGCAGCATTGCCAGGGCCGTGGTGAATTACCCCTACTCTCTTTCAGGCTCAGACCCTCTCTCCCGTCTCTGCCCTATTCCTCTGGGTCACGTGAGGAAGTCATTGCTCTCTGGCTCAGCTGTTGGAGGAAAACCCCAGCTGTTCCATGCGCAGGGGCCCAATAGCCTCTTGTCCCCGTGGAGGTAGGATAGAATACGTCTTGACAAGAATTCTGGTTAGAGGCTCTGACTTTTCATGATAGAACTTGAGCACTGCCAACTCCTTGCCCAGTTTCTAGACTCTGTCCTTAATGATCAGAATAGGACACTGTGATTCCAGCTCAAGCTAAAATTTATAGCCTCTTGAGCCATTTAGCAGCCAACTCCTATCAAAATCCCAGTCAAATGATGATCTCGGGGGAACATCATTTGAGTATAGTCCAAGTGCCATGAGATTATAACGCTGGAAACCACATCTGTCAACCACATGACGGGTTTTACCTTTGATATTCTACCTTTGAGTTTTACTAGGGGTTACATTTGCATTCACTGAGAAAACACCACTGAGGACAGGACACTGCCCGTCGTGGTGCCCCTTTCCCTCTCTGCAGAGTCCAGCACCCCCCTCCCAGAAGCTGCTCTGTCTCTTCCCTTCACACGATAAAAACGGGTCCTTCTCCACTGTTCCTTCTCTGTTGTGCAGCCAGGAGGCAGGGAGCCCGTGTCTGTGCTAACTCTGCACGGTCCAGATATTCGCTTCGCTCCTCCTCGTCCTCATTTGCCCTCCTTCATTCCCATTTTATTAATTTTGTGTCTTTTATAAGCTACCCTAAATCGTTTCATAAAGAGGCAGGAAATTTTGAAATTAAAATTACATGTACTTATTGGGCAGCGCTTTTTCTGTGCCTGAAAAATGAAACAAAACTATAATCACAAATACTTTTTGTAAGGGAAAGCTCTATTTTCTCCCTCTACTCTCAATTCTTTGCTTCTGGCCCCCAAATGTGGGGGATTCTCCCATGCCAAGGAATTCTCTAATTCACAGCAGACACAACAGGATGTCCTACAATTCAGCTTAGTTCTAACACTCTCTGCCTGGAGGTGGCATCACAGCCCACAGGTAATGGGCTCAGTCCTGCAAGACTGCCCCCACGTCAGACACCAAACACAAGTCAGGTTGTCACCTGTACTTCTGACCAACTGGCTATAGACTGGAGTTCTCATGACCCCTCCTTGGGTTCGATAATGTGCTAGAATGGCTCACAGATCTCAGGAAAACACTTAGGTTTACCGATTTATTATAAAGGATACAAGTCAGGAACAGCCAGATGGAAGAAATGCACAGGGTAGGGTGTGGGGAAGGGGCGGGGAGCCTCCACGCCCTCTCCAGGTGCACGACCCTCCAATACTTTTGTGTGTTCACCAACCTGGAGTTCGTCAAATCTTGTTGTTCAAGAGTTTTTATAGAACTTAATCTCCAACCCTACCCCCCCTTCTCAGTTCCAACTCTCTAATCACTTGCTCTTTCCAGTGACTAGCTCCATCCTGAGGTATCAAGGGACCCCAACCAAGTCACCTCATTAGTGTAAACTCAGGTGTGATGGAAAGGGGCTTCTATGAACACCTGAAAACACTACTATCACTCAGGCTTTAGGAGCTCTGTGCTAGGAACCAGAGACAAAGACCAAATATATCTCTTATACCACACTTTTCCGTTGTGTAAATGTCTTCACCATTCTTCTATCCTCAAAACCTCGGCATCAAAGATAAGCGTAACATAAGGATGGCAGAGCCTTAAACAGACGCCCGGTGAAGATGCTTCTGCTTTTCCCCAGGTTAGAAAGATCGTGGTCGGTGACCGGCACGTGATAATTTGAGGGGCACAGAAAGGAGTAGAAGGACCCTAACAAGCAACTTTACCTACCACACAGGCTCATGAGAACTCTGGGCTCGGAGTGCATCCCCACCGGATTATTTTAGTGGGGTCCTTGTAAGATGCAACTTGTTTATGGAGATGTAGGGGGATCAGTTTCTTGGAATAGAAGCTTAGGGAAGATTTAGGTATATTCTAAGATACTCTCTGACATCAAATATGTGGGAGTCTTTTCCAACACCAATCAATTCTCCAATTCTGATGCTGTCTACCTGGAGTCAGCATCAGATCCCACAAGTTAAAGGGCTCAGTCCCACAAGACTGCCCCTACTTCAGCTGCCCCTGCAAATGGGGTGCCCAGGCTACTCACACTTCTGGCAGCCAACTGCAAATTCGGGAATTCCCACAGCCCCCCAACAAGTTTGATAATATACTAGAATGGCTCGTAGAATGCAGGAAAATGCTATACTTACTATTACAGTTTGTTATAAAGGATACAAATGAACAGCCAGATAAAGAAGTACATAGGGCGAGGTCCAGAAGAGTCCTGAGTGTGGGAACCTCTGTCCTCGTGGAGTTGGGGTGCACCACCCTCGGCATGTGGATGCATTCACCAATCTAGAAGCTCTCTGGATCTATGGAGGTTTCATTATGTGGGCATCACTGATTAAAGCATTGGCTGTTGGTGATTGAACTCAATCTCCAGCCCCTCTCCCCTCCCCAGAGGTGGGGGGTTACTGGAAGTTCCAACCCTGTAATCACGTGGTTGGTTTTTCTGGAGTCCAGCCCCCATTCAGAAGCTATCTAGGAGCCCCTTAAATTAAAGCCATGATGATACGTAGTTTTCTATTATTATGCAGAAAAGCCAAGATTTTAAACATTGATAAACCCAGTGTTAACGGCAGTGGGTGAGAGTGGAATTAGTGCTCAGAAACTGTTGTGGGGATTCTGAAAACAGGTACGACATTTTTAGAGGGGGCTCTAGCAATCTCAGTGTTTTCCCCATAGGTAAGATGTTGTTTCCTCTGGTCGCTCTCAGAGGATTTCTTGGTGTGGATTTCTTTGGGTTATCATGTTTGGGGATCAATCAGCTTCTTGAATTTATAGGTTTATATCTCTCGCTAAATTTGTGAGGTTTTCAGCCATTATTTATTTGAATACTTTTCTCCTGCCTGAACTCCAGTGACATAAGTATTAGATCTTTTGTTAGAGCCCCACAGATCC